GTTGGACTAGATGACCTCTTGAGGTCCCTTCCAACCCTGATATTCTATGATTCACTCCTATTCCTTCTCCTCTTACTCTGTCCCCTTCATTCACTCATCCTCTCCTCTTTCCTTCCTCATTCAATATCCTATGTTTATAATCACATCCCCTCCACCTCTGTCTCCCCCTTGACTTACTGTCTTTCCCTCTTCCCTATTCGCCTCCTCTTCTCACTCACTGTGTGAAAGAAAGAGACAGAGACAGTGCCCTCTCATGCTAAGAAGCTAGAGATCATAGATGTTTGGGAGGGTGGAGTAGGGGGAGGGTTGTAGGGTCAAATGTAAAGCTGTGATTGGTGTTGGGGAGCCTAGTGCTTCAGCAATGAGGAATCTGTGCTTGACGACCTCTCCATAGCACTGCTGACTAGGCGTCCTGGTGCACCATGAAGCAGTGCCATGGGGGATCCCTTGTTACTCTGATTACTCCAATGCAGAGAAGTTTTGCCCCATTTCCTTCTGTCCCTCCTCCCTTCGCCCATTCACTTGGTTGGTGGGGGATCCAAGGCATCGTACCTTGGCTAATCTGGATATAGCTCAGAGCAGTTATACTGATCAAACAGTCATTCTTTGGGTTTATTTTCGAAATGGTGTATATGTGAGAGAAGTCTTAAGTTTTGCTGTTTAAAGAAACCTAAAGATATGTGGTAGAACTGAGAAAATTTCAGGAGGAGGGCACTTTTAAACACTTACTCCATAAAAGTTAGTGGGTATTTTACTAAAAAGCTATATTGAAAATGCAGTTGTCCTCTGAAGAGTTAGTGCCAATTTTGGAGACTAAATGTTAGTCCTGCTTGAAGTGGAAATCTCAACATAACCTGAACTCTGAAATGGCTACCAAGGCCTCCATATTATATGTATGTTGTCTTTTGCCTCTGTCAGAGTACACCAACACAGAACATGGTCAAGCGTCCGAATCAGCAGCTACAGTCAACTGCTTCAAGAAATAGCAACTTGCGTGAATTACCAATAGCACCTTCGCATGCTATTGAGATTAGTAACAACCGGCGAACCGCTGCACCTGCTGCGCAGGTGAAACCCATTACCAGCACAACACCTGCTACAAGATCTGTAGTAGGTGTTGGGAGCCCACATGGAAGGACTGAAATGAAAGCTAGAGCAGTCGTGCCAGTGGTCCAAACTAAAGTAGAAGTAAAATCTGAACCAGAGGTAAGGGAGATTTTCCATTAATGTTAAATGGCTGTTTGTAGTACATGCATTTCTATTTCTTAATGTAACCGGTTGCTCTATAGGTACAGATAAGAAATACCTGCAAAACATACCTGTATGGTGCTGCTAAGTAGGAAGTCATGGCCAAAAGTTAAAACATTGGCTAATCTATTCACCTTTCTTAAAAGAATAAGTTTATACATTTGCTAGTCTGATTTGTGGAGTATAAACTCACCTATATGCACCCATGTGCTACACTTCATTACCACTAGGTGTCCCACTTCCAGGTTGCACTCTCCTCGTAGTGTTGTCAGACAGGGAGAAGGGGATTAGCTGCAAGCTCCTCCCAGGAGAGGGGTCCAGGTCTTGAAGGGCTGGGTGACTCAATTTTGGGAGGTAAGGGAACTACTCCTACAAAAGTTGGGGACAGGTAGCCTACTTGATTTGGGGCATCCTGCTTTGGTATATGATGTGGTTAAAGTAGGAACAGCTACTGAATGAGGAAAGGAAGAGAAGAAGGGGGAGGACACTGAGCAGGAATGAATCAGACTTAAAGTTGCTTCAGAGATGGTATGGGCAGGACATTGCTGACGTGAAATCTGGTGTGGAGGTGAAAGTATCTGAGAGAACCACAGCGAGTGACATGGAGCTAAATGAGGCTGGAGTAGGGCTAGCAGCAGCAGTGCTTCTCTTCCCTTGCCTCAGGTCCTGCAGCTTCCCATATCAGACTAAGAGGCTTCTGGGTCCAACCAGCTCCCTGCTGCTCAGTTTAGGTTTTCTCATAAGAACTGCCATACTAGGTCAGACCAGTAGTCCGTCTAGCCCAGTGGCCAGTACCAGAGCTTCAGTGCAGTTTTGGATAGCTGCATTCCTGTCTTCCCCTCCTGGCTTCTGGCATTTAAAGGTTTAGGGTCACCCAGAGTATGGGGTTATCCCTGGCCATCCTAGGTAATAGTCATTGATGGACTTGTCCTCCTTGAACTTGTCTAGTTCTGTTTTTAACCCAGTTACATTTTTGGCTATTACAATATCCCATAGCAATGAGTTCCACATATTAATACCACCAGATACTACTTTCTCAGCAATACCTATCCCTATCTAATACTTCCTCTTCCAACCTGGTTCCCTACTGCTCATCACTTCCTCCCCAGTCTTGTGAATAAGACAGCCACCAGATCCCTCCATTCCTCTTCTTTTCCATTTTCTGCTCTCTCAAATGAGACCCAAATGACTTCCAAACATGGCTGCCCAGCCAATCTCCTCCAAGTCCTGGAGTCCTCATGATAAGCTGCAGTTGAGCCATCCCCTCAGGCACCTCTTCTGCTGATGGAGCGGATACTTGTCCTACATCTCATCTGGAGGAAATATAAAATATTTTGTTTTTATTATTTTCCATTTTGAAAAAAGTTGCTATTTAATTTGCCAGGACCACCCAAGAGTGTGAGGTATGTCTGTACTCTGAACCTCACTCAGGTCTTGATCCTGAATGCTGCTGTGTGTGGATCCTTACCCCTGTATGGAACTCCATTGAAGTCGGGGGGGCTCCCCCTGGTCACAGGGAGTCCTCTTGTGTGGAGCAGTTTGCAGGATTGGGCCCTTAATGTTGAATGCTATGAGACACTGTATCTACATGATGGTTAAATGACTGTTACAATTTTCAAATGTCAAGTCATTCCAAGCAGAACCACAAATCCTTCACGTTAAGTTAGCTATGAACCCCTCTGTCTCAAACACCAGGTTTCTTTTAAGAACTTCTTCTTTTAAGTTGCTGGTGATTAGCTCCTCTTCTTTTTCTTGAATTAGTTATGACCATCTCTCATTTCCACAAATGAAACATGAAGGAAACATGCAGTTATCAGTATTTAACTTCCTGTGCACTTATTCATCATCAGGAATAAAAACCCCTTGGTTCAGCTTTTCAAGAGGTCACTTATTTAACTTTGCTCTTTAGTTTCAGCAGATACTAAAGGTTTTTTCCCTTTCATATCAGTTCCTCCTAGAAGAATCTAAAAGTAACAGAAAATAACACAGATCTTGGGAAAATTCTGCATCTTTCAGGCCAGTAAGAAAGGTGATAAAGATTATAAGCTTGTTACATATAGTTACAGGCTTCCTCTCTCCAGTTAAATATGAATTAACTCCAAAATGTATACATTAGTCATTAAGTCTTCTGTTATTGTCTTTGACTGGGTGTTCCCTACAAGACAAGACAGAGCAGCCTTCTTGTCCCCTCAGATTTAATTTAAATTTAAATAAATCCCTGTAAACTTTTGTATGTTCTAAGATTAACTGGCCTTACCTATCTGAAACTTTAGTCTCACAGAACTTCTGTATCCCTTATCTTTTTGTGGGTGCTTCAAAACTTTATTTGGAAGCAATTTCTGAAACTTTCTGTTCATGTAACTTACAGAAAGCTTTTTTTTTTTTTTTTTTTTTGGTTCCTGGAACAGAGGAAGTGTCTCCTTGTAATTCCCAGTAGAACCCATCACAGTAAGTGCGGGAAGATGCTCAACAATTAACTGAGACGCTAATGGAAAATGGAGCTTAGAAAGCAGCAACAATTCACATACTATACCATATTAACAAATGTGTCCTTTCAACCTCACCACAGTTTTGTACATCCTGTGCATTAAATCAGTACGTAACTTCTATTTACCTGTAGTGGGATACTTCTGCGCTCTTTTTTTTTTTAAGTTGTGTTCCGATAATTCTGTTTAGGGCAGACCTGTACAGAACTCTCTCTGGTGCAGTCATTTTTCCATATTTTTCTTTCCTTCTTTTCTTTCAATAATTTCACTCTGTCCGCCTCTTTACCTTTATGGTGTTAATGAAGAGTGAGGAAATGTCCTCTTCTCTTGTCATATTGTTGCATTGCTCATAAGCGGCAAAGCCACAGATTAGTTACGCAGGTCATTTTTCAAGTGTGTAAGAACTGAAAAACTAAATTATTGGGACTATTTCTTGCGTCTCTCTTTCTCTAAAGCCAGTGGCCTTATTTACTAGGGATCCTACTAGGGCTCAGAAGGAGCCCTACAAACATCCAAATATGACCTCATATAGATTTTGGCGGTATTTTAAAAGTTTGCAGCCCTGCAGGACTAGAAGCAAGTGCTGGGTCCCACTGAGAAGTTGGGAATCTACTCTTCCCATAGCATAAAGCTCCTCTTTGTAGCCCTGCTACAGGGCTGCAAAATAGAATTTTTAAAAAATAGATTGATATGTCTATGTATAGAAAAACTATTACTGTTATGCTTATAAGAAGCACACGGGATCTTTTTCAGGAGAAAAGGCAATACGCCGCGTTTATTGAAGATACAGCAATTAGCATATGCATTCTTTCTCTCCCACTTCTT